TACATCAACAAGAAATAATGTTAAGCAAAATTTCACCCAGTATAGCCATGTGCCCTCCAGAGGTCAATAGTAAGATCAATGCCAACTAATAAATCTAAGATCAAAATAAATTTTCAGTGAATAACATTCCCAAAAATAGAATTTAAAAAAGTGAAAATAATATGCTTAAACAATTATGTAGAATGATTAAAAAAATTGATAATTCAATATAATAAGCTCACTAAATCTATAAATCTTAATTATAACCATAAAATGTGAGTGAGCCGAAAGCACTTTATTCTATCATACTTAAAGAAAACAAATTATTCATACATGAATCAAAATAATACACTTGCTAATTGAAACTATTGAAATTTTGAATACACAAGTTAATCAAAATTTAAAATTTTAAGGGCTTAATAGAATAGGTAACAAACATGCACATATAGTCCACAAGAATAAATAACCGAACGTGGCTTATGCTACGAGAACAAAAGTGGACATACAATCCACAAGGGCAAGTAACCAAACGCAGCCTGAGCTATGAAACAAACATGTACACATAGTCCACGAGGATAACACTAATCAAATGCAGGTCATAGCCACAAAAACAAATGCAAGTACGAGACTTAAGAATAACAAACATGAGGATAAGGCTCACAAAAATTCAAACTAACTAGTCATTAATTGAGGTGCACTAAGGGCTAACGGAACTGCTGTTAGCTATAATGCTACAATGTTATGCTTAAAGTCCTCTCAAAATTACTTTTCAAACATGCGAGGAAAATAGTCATTTTTAAAATATAATTTTCATTCTTAATACCAAACTCATATGAGTCGACTTAAGCATCAATTCAATAGTTGTCAAAATAAAATTTATAAATAATGTTCATTTTTGCATTTAATTGGTGACTAAAATTTTCAAAGCTAATCAAAATAATTTCATTAATCTTAAAAATATAATTCATAAAGAAAATATATGTACTTGTCATAACTTAATTATTCTTTTGCCACAGTTATATATGTTTTCACAGGATAAAATAATTTCACATAACAAATTGATTCATCAAATCAGAATCAATTCAATAAAAGACTCATTCTTTGATAAATATGATTTATTACTAATAAAACAATAAGAAAGTAAAATGGAATTAATACACTTTCTAAGGAAAATTTTATTAATAAATTAATTGGGATGCCATTCACTTATGTGTGTCAGAATTCTGAATTACCAAAAATACTCTTCCTTCAATTCATATTAGGTCCTGTTTTTTCACACACCCTATAAGGATATGAAATAACAAAATGTTTTAATATATTTTCAATTTTAACATAATCCCAATCAACTACCATCATTTTAAATTCCAAAACCCAAAATTCATGCTTTAGGGTGGGTTCAAGTATTATCATTCATATTATTAATCTCCTCCATATTACTTTAGCCATGCCAATCTACTTACTTGAGACATAATTTTCTCTTAAGCTTTGCATCAAATAGGTTAGGTACATTATTTCTAACCATTCAATTAAAATATCCAATAATTTATCAATAACCATACAAATCCCAAGTATTTAAATGGTTGCATACAAATTCATACTCAAATTTCTTTTGGAGTCTCCAACTTTGGTTCATAAAGCAATAGCACTCCATTTGGATATATCACTCACAAGGATCAATTGAATTTAAAAATTGTACCAAAACTAAATAAAATTTCTTCTAATAAGCATTATGTGAAAAACATTATATGCACTAATTTTTGCAAGTTCAAACCAACTTCTTCCTCTTTGATTCCATCTCCCAAAATTCTCTAATATACAAATAAATGACAAATCAGCTTCCTAAGTTCTTTTTTCTTCATTGAATAAATCAGTCTTTTCTTAAGAAAAATTAAATCATCATCTTACACAGTTCACATGGCAACATTAAACTAGAATTTCGACTTCAATTTATCTTCTCTCCTTCACACCGGCGAAGAACCAGGGAAAAAATGATGAAGAACCAGGGAAAAAAACTCATGACAGTGTGAATGAAATGGCATAGGCACACCGGCGGCAGTGACTAACATGAACAACGGGCAACTAGCGATTGAGAGGGAAGAAGCTAGAAACCGACAGGAGACGGGGCATGGTTTGTACTTTGCTCTCCAACCCTCTCTTTGCTCACAAAATGCACGTAGACAAGGGAAAGAAGAAAAATCTGGTTGAGATAAGGGCATTTTGGTAATTTCATAAAGTAAAAAAAGGGGGAATGGCATTAAGGGCCTTAAAAAAACAGACTTTATTGCAATTTGGGCCTAAATGAATATGATATTTCTCTACAGGCCTTGAGGCCCTTATCGTCAATTTTCTTGAGACCAAAAGTATGATTTTAGACTTTGTTTGATTTGAATTCAGAATCTGTGTGAACTCTCAAAGTAACGAAATAGACCATGCACGATATAACATCTACTATGCATAATATGATGTCCACATGTGCTGAACAAAAAATTCATGCATTTTCAGTATTTCACTAGCCTAGTCTATAACAAAATGATGTTAGGCAGACCATACATGGCACAACATCCACTATGCACAAGATGATGTCCACGCATGCTCAATAGAAAGTTTATGCATTTCCAATATTAAGAAGGATAATTACATCATATATGAATAATTTCATGTTGGTATTAGCCTAGGTACTAAAACAAGTACCCACATGAAATTTGATACAATATTTCAAGTCTAATATATATAGAAAGTTAGCCAATATATCCAAAATATCTAACAGTTACTTCTCCATATACAAATAAAAAATATTTGTGATTCTCACTTACCCAAAAAATATTATTTGGAAATGCTTTTATATACATAATTATAGTTGCTTGTGTGCATCAAAGAAGTGCAATGTAATCACTTCTCATGCTGGGTTATGATTCTTGCATGTCTTGTGACTGTGTCTGGCCTTCCCATATCTTAAACAATGATAATCTTCTTATCTTGGAAGACTTTATCCTCCTTATTCGTAGCCTCCCAGGAGGATGGCTGGTTAAAGACGGTTGCAAGAAAAAAAGTTTGTGATATATTCTCACCTAAAAGTCCATGTGATTTCAATTTATCATTATGCTAGGCTTAACAAAATACTGAAGTTAGGCAAATAATACATAACACAATATTCACTATACACAATATAAGGTTCATTTATTCTCAACTAAAAGTCCATAAGATTCTACTTTATCAGTAGGCTAGGCTTGACAAATATATAAGTAAGCAAATAATGCACAACACAATATCTACTATGCACAACATAAGGTTCTTATATTCTCAACTAAAAGTTCATACGATTTTACTTTATCAATAGGTTAGGCTTAACAAAATGCATAAATAGATAAACAATGCATAACACAATATCCACTATGCACAATATAAGGTTCATTTATTTTTAACTAAAAGTCTATAAGATTTTACTTTATCAATAGGCTAGGCTTGACAAAATGCACAAGTAAGCAAACAATGCATAACACAATATTTACTATGCACAACATAAGGTTCATATATTCTCAACTAAAAGTCTATATGATTCTACTTTATCAGTAGGCTAGGCTTAACAAAATGCACAAATAGGCAAACAATGCATAACACAATATCCACTATACACAATATAAGATTTATTTATTCTCAACTAAAAGTCCATAAGATTCTACTTTATCAGTAGGTTAGGCTTGACAAAATGCACAAGTAAGTAAACAATGTACAACACAATATCCACCATGCACAACACAATCTTCATATATTCTAAAATGAAAGTCCATGTGTGTCCAGTTTATTAGTTGGCTAGGCTTAACAAAAAGTTTCTCAAGTTTATGAACAATAAAAAGTCTGTATATAAAATGACAAGATCCATTTATTAATAACACAATGTCCATCTATTTCACATGATTTGTGTGATTAAACTGAACATTTGAAAAAGTTTCTCAAGATTATGAAGAACAAAAGGTCCGTATATAGCATGAAAGTATCCATTTGCTAATAACACAATGTCCATATATTTACAAAACAAGGTTTGTCGATATGATACACATAAATATCCGCACAAGTTAATTGCAAAGTTTGCACAACATAAACTCCATAAATAACAACATAAATTTTATAAACAACATCTACACCAGAACATTTATATCAGTTGCAAAAAAATATGTATCAGAAACAATAAAAAATCCATAAATAATAACTTATTTTCATTAAATGAACGTGAATGCGTACATTATGATTAGATAAAACTGATGTAGCTCAAACTCTCTCTATATCCTTTTTGACAAAATAAAACTGATAATGACAAATGCAGCACTTGATCCATTCTTTCCACACTATGGTGGATCGTTTCAAGAAGCTGGTTGGTGTGAGAGAAATGTAATCGGACGAATGCCTGATCGTCTTCTCCATACCCATCTAGATAAAAGTGGATCGCCTACTTATACTTGTTGAACGAAAAAGTTCAAATGAGAGAAAGAAGGAAGAAGGAGGAAGAAGAAGAAAGGAAATAGAGAAGCATGATGGGGGGAAAATAAATTTGGTTATTGCATCAGTGTTGAAAAAGGAAGAGAGAGAAGGAAGAGGGAGGAAGAACAGAGGAAAAAGAAAAAATTTTCATTCAATAGCTGGTTATGGGAGGGACAAATTGATCATTTCACTAGAAAATATAATTGCAAATGGGGCCTTTAAGCTCTCAAAATAATTTCAGAATCTATTAGGCCTTATCTGCAAAATTCTTGCTTTTTAGGGCCCTTAGTGCCATTCCCCTTAAAAAAAAAGCAACATGAGGGTATTATTTGCATAGTTTCCACTATGTCAATACTCATTCTTGTTATAATTGCTCCAAACATAAAAAAAATACATTCCAACAAATTATTATGTATTTATATTTTATTTATCAGGGTCATTACAATATAGGTGTTAATTTAAACTTGATGAACGTTATAAATATTGTACGCTAGTTATCACATATTGCAATCCCCATATACTTAATTACATTAAACAGAGGCAAATACAATCTCACAGGTTCTATAAATAGCTCAGGCTTAATTACATTATCACAATCATCTCCTCCTCCATGATAAAAACATCGTCAATCTATTTATGTTACTATAATTTTAGTTCTATCATAATTACTATTTTAAAAAATATTAATTTTTTTTACCAAATAATCCATCACCTCCTGGCCTCGTCATCACTCCAACACTGTGGTGGTGGCTACATCGTCCAACTGCACAAGTATAAGAAAAATTACAATATCAAAATCATCAATTTATAATAAATATTTACCAAAACAAAGAATGAGTCTCACGTGCAGAAAAATATACAGCTTGCATGTGTAGACATTTCGTTTTCATACTATAGTTCCAAAACTTGTGTATCTCTTTTTTTTCCCCCAACCCAGACCCAAAAGTTATATATCAACTCCATCTTTTTGAAAAGAATTAGGGTGACGAAGGATATGGTACATGCAAAAGTTCAAAACAAATAAGAATTTTAATAGATGTACAATTCCTATATTTTTAAGTCAAGAACATCATGCAAGGAAAAAGAAAATAGATTACCAAAAAAATAAAAAAAAATAGGAATGATGTTATTATGTGAAATATGGGTAGGTGTGGATGGCATAAATATGCGTACTTCTTGTAGTAGTGCTTAGAGGCAGTGCTTTGAAGAGCAGCGAGTGTGGTTTCAGAGAACATGGGGCAATCCGCAACTTCAAGAAATTGCAGCTTTGGAAGTTGGTTGTTGTAGAACCCTTCCTCTTGGATTTCAACTTCACAATTAAAAAGTCCCTCTACCTGAGAGCACTCTCTTATTATCAGAGTTTCCAACTGCCGAAGATGTTGAGTGGAGGGTAGAGAGGGGAAGAGCCACTTCAACTTTCTGCATTTAATGACATAAAGCCAATGAAGTAGTGGGAAGCAGAAGGAAGAAGAGGAAGCATTTGGAAAGTGAGGCTCTGATGACATTATTTCCTCCAACTCTTCACATTCATCAATGTATAGATGCCACAAACATGGTAGGCTTTTGATGACAGTGCTGGGGAAGATACACTTCAATTTCTTGCATCCATTCACATGTAACTCTGAAAGATTTTGGAAGCTAATGAAAGTGGGACCCTCCCATACACACAAGAAGTTACCTGAATCCCTCAAACTCAATCTTTCTACTCTTGAGATCATCAAGACTATCCCTTTTTCATCATTTTGATATAATTGTTTTTCTACATCTGCTATGGTTTGTAAATCTGAATTTTTTGTCGAAGCTTGGGGAAACTGCAACTTCAATAAAGAAAGATAAATAATTTATTCATATCAATGAAATTTAATACTTACAGTTTTCATTTATACTTGGATTTAATAAATAAAAAACTAAATATATTGAAAATAGAAATTCAAGAACATCGAGCAAATTTTATATATACATATATTCAAATGCATGTTTATATCAATGTATGATTACATGGCAAACAAAGATCAACTTATGATTATTTTATCTTACTATAAACTAACTTTTTATCAAAATATTTTGTGAATGATAGACCGTGCACTGCACACAATTGTTCTTTCCTTGTCAATATTTTGATATAGTTCTACATGAAAGTTTAGGATACTGAATTCTCATGGGTGAATATTTGAGGGCCAAAAATTCCCTTTAACCCATTTATATATATGTAGTTGCAGCTAGAAAAGTGATGTATATGATTCTAATCTATATATTATTCTATTTCATTTTAAAGATTCTAATTGACATCATATAGAATATTTATTCGTACCAATATTGTTCCCATTTGTTGAAGAGTCAATCCCAAACTTGAATCAAGAAATTTTGGGCAATTCCATATGCTGATGTCGCTCAGTTGCACCTGAATTTGCATTCCTTGACAAACACTGATGAGATTTGGCAAATTCTCAAGCTTGATCTTCCTCAAGCTTGAAAGCACAATTTTTTCATCATAGTTGGCATCATCTTCATTACTATATCCAAAAATCACTTCCAAGTCCTCACAATCAGATAAGGTTAGGGAACTCAATTTGGGAAGGCTGTTATCAACAATGGTGCTTATTGAGAATAAAAACTTCAACTTTTTGCATTGAATCATTTCTAAGGCATGCAGATATTGGAAGCTCAAAACTTGTGTGGGAACAAGACCTCCAAGCATTTGTTGTTCGGATCTCAACATTTCTAAGCCGTTGGTTCCTTCTTGGTTGTCATCACCCATGACTTGAAACTCGTGATCAACTCTAGAACTTTGAATATCAACTTCTCCAACATTTAGAATAGTGGGTGATAGATTGAGAGCTTCATTTCTATTTAATTGGCTTGTTTTCAACACATACTTTTTTACAAGCCCCTGCATATAACAAAGAGGTTAAAGTAGATGGGAAAGTATATATTATAAGTTCCTTCAAAAGATAAGGAAAAGAAAAGGAGATCAAATTAACCAATGTTTTTGTATGCAAGAATATAAGATGTGTCCTTAATTGTCTTTTGCGTATTTATTAAACTTAAATGTGGTTGTTAAAACAAAGAAATATATAATACATTGCACACATGAAAGTTTTCTGCTCTCCAGCTTCTGTTGTTAGAACTTAGGACTATCATTGACGATGACTGTCACATAAAAATAATATTATAGGAACAATTCACGTCCGTCGTAAAATAGTCTCTAATTGATAAACTCAACCTTTTGTATAGTAGGATGCAAAATATATGCAAAAAGAAAAGAAAAATTATGTGAAATAGGAACATAAAAAGAACTACATACAAAGAAATATTGTATTAACATATATATATATATATATATATATGTATGTATGTATCTATGTATCTAGTGCATATGCATGTGAAGAGAATTATATATGGTAAGACTTATGGAGTTAGCTTTATATATTAAATATATATACTTTCTTCCAATCAAATTGTGACAAGTAGATCTTAATATGTTAATAAAATTAATAATAAGAATTTATTATAGAATAAATAATTTATAAAAAATTCACATGTCTTGATTTTATTGGAAACAAGCACATTAAATATATAAGGCTAAATATAGAAGTTTTCCCAATTATATATATATATATATATATTGTATTATACTTTTTAAATTTTTTTTAATAATAAAAAACGTAAAATAATATAAAAAGTGAAATCTCATGCATATATGTGTGTGGGGGTATATTGGTTTCGAGAAAAAATAATCAAAAATATATAAAAATGTATATTTTCAGTATATTTTCTTACATATTCCATAAATGAATTCAATATAAATTAAATGAATGAATTTTACTAAAAATATATGATGACTCATATTTTCATAGCATATAAAATAATAAAAAGTTGTTTTCAAATCTCAATTTCTTATTCACATCTCAATAATTTAATCAACTTCATTACTGATCTCTCTCTTCTCTTCTCTTTCTCACAATCTCACCTTCATCTTCTTCCTCCCTCACAAGACTCTCTCTGACACACACATGCTGACTACTGTGATCTTTTTCTATTTCTCCCTTAGTGCTATCTATGAAGGGATGAGCCCCTCCCACCTATACAATGTGGGTCCGCCACTATATTCACCAAGCATCAATTGAATTAATATTGCAAAATAAAACATATATAGGCAAGTTTTGCAGCATGGAAAATGAAGCATTGAGAACTGCAAGTGTAGAATATTAATTACTTACCTCTTCTGTCCAATCAATAGCTGCACTTATCATTGGCATGAATTTTGGGCATTCACGAACATACACTCTGCAAAACCCTGGGTGCAACTTAAACCCATGGCAGGAATTAACAAGTCTTGGAAGCTTGTCAAGTGTTATATAGTTCAAGTTTGGGAACACAATCTCCCTTTCACAGTCAATGTCATGATCTTCAATATTAGAGCATCTAAAAATTTCTTCCAGTTGAAAAGAATCTGATATAGTTAGAGCTCGTAGCTGTGGAAGTACTGTGGTCGCAGCATTGTTAATCGTGAAAGATAAAATGAATTTCAACTTGTTGCACTTTTTGATTTCCAATTTCTCCAATTTTGGCAGATAGGTTTCAGTTGTGGATAGATTATTCTCAGTTCCTTCATTCCCGAAAAAAAATTGATTCCAACTCCTCACAATCAAATATGGTTACAGAAGTTAATTCTGGAAGACTTGGACAGAGATGAGCAAAGAAGACAAATTTCAATCTTGAACATTTTTGCAAATTTAATTTTTTAAGGTATTGAAATGTTGGAATTTGTTCTTCAACCCTAGTTTGAAAGTGGAAAATGGACTCTACTCCACAGTTACGAAGTTCAATCTTTTCGATAGCTGCCAATGGCTTGTATTCTTTCTCATTCCTCAATTGATGGCCCTTAAGTTCCTACAATTCCTTTGCGAAAGAGAAAGAGAGAGAAGAGAAGAGAAGAAAAATGAAAATCATTAACATATTTCCTAAAATATCATTAATCAGGATTTATTGAAAATTTATTGTCCATGTAATATTATTGAATATATACTTAGTCTATTAATTTTTAGGAAAATTAAACAATTAAAGAACGCAACCACATACACAAGAAAATGGAGTCCACAATGAAGTTAAGGAAACATTATGATGATTGGCCCATAGGAGTGAATATTCATTGTGGGCCGTAGAAATGATAAATAAATAGAATGATCAAATATCAAATAACAAAATATAATTGATCCTTGCATTTAAATATTTTGCAATGAGTGGAGTACGTACGGCAACAAATTGTGGCGCAAAAATATTAAAGAATGTTAGGCGAGACGCAAAAGCACAATTGCTTATTTCTATTAACATTTTTTTTTGGGATGTAAGCACAATTATTAAAAAACCTATCAATAGTTTAAGAAATAATGAAAATATCAATGTATGTCCATTGTTGACATTACTGCATTTTTATTTTAAATAATATATGGAGCACTATTAACTCAGAAGCATAATGAGATTAAAATAAAATAAAATAAAATCACGTATGACATTAGGTATTTTCTAGACAAGGAAATAGGAAGCTTTTAAAGAATGCATATTCATGCATCATTTTATTATTTCATTTTTTATTTTAAATAAAAAAATGGGAATAAATATTTACTAAGTAGTTGAACTGCATCATCTCTCAATATGTATTCATATGAGCACTACTTGCTAGTTCACATATGCTAAAAAAAATTTAATGATGTGAACAAAGAATTTTTTTTTTTAAAAGAAAAATTAGCATCGGAGAGCAAATGCATACCATATTTGGACAATTCTTCCGGTCTATTTTCTTCATAGATGGGAACCTGAGATGGTAGTTTTCTGAGCAAATTCCCACAAGATTTGGGAGTCTTTGTAGTGTGAGAAATTCCAAAAGAGGAAGCACTATTTGAGTCTCAATTTGATTATACATAGCTTGTTCTACACCTCCATTTTCACCAAACACAAATTTCATATGAGGAGCATTACTTATGAATAGACCTTGCAATTGTACAAACCTTTGAACCAAAAAGATCATTGGGCATACAGATTCGAATTTGCCACAATCACGAATGGATATATTTTTCAGTTTTAGGATTCTGAAACTCTCCCATGCATCACCACCTCCCTCTCCCTCAAATACATGCTTCAATTCATGGCAGTCTTCTATTTGGAGCTCCTCTAGGGATAATAGAGTACAAACAGCAGAGATAGGGAAGAGTGATATCAACATTGGACATTTGGAAATGTTGACAAACTTAAGATTTCTCAAGTTGCAATAAATAGGGAATATGTGGAGCAATTGAGGGCAATTGAATATACTTAGACTTTCTAGCTTTTGAAACATGCTAACAAGAGAAGGACCACGACATAATTGTTTTAGATTAAACATATCCCTTAGTTTCAACTCATCCAATTTTGGCACAACCATATCTTCTTGAAGAGTAGTTTCATCAATGATGCATTTTATCTCCGAACAATATTGAAGATGGAGTTTAGTTAACTCATTCATGCCTCCCATATCTAGAACCATATCAGGAATGAAGCTTTTGCAGCCTCCCTGGAGCTCATAAAATTGAATTGCAGTAGCTTTTTGTACTAGATCCTTGATTATTGCACCTGACAGAAATATTTAGATGATGCAAGTGTAAAGGTCTTGTGCCTTTGTTCCAAAATTGAAAGTCTCTGCCAAAATGATGCCCCATTAGTTCTAACTTGTACCTTCTCAATTTTGTCAAAGCAGTGGTATGCACAAAGTATTCATAGCAACTTGCATTTTCTGGATGTAGAAAATGTGGATAAACATACAACTCCTCTAGTTGTGAACACCTTCCTAGTACTTCATAACAACACTCAACTATTGTACACATAGATAAGTCCAGCAACTTTAGCTTCTTTAACTTTTCAATTCCACTTGGTAGTTTTTCAAATGTACTACCATGCAAGTCAAGAATTTCAAGTCTTGTAAAGCTTACCACATAAGAGATGTCACCTAAATCCCAATTTTGCAACCTCAGAGTTTGAAGATTACGCAATTGCTGGATTGATTCAGGCTTTACCCTCAACAAGATATCATTTGAATGATATTCATTAATAATAGCCACAATCTTGAGTCTTTTCACACCTTCAAATGATGCATGTGATAAATCTAAGGTTTTTCTTAAATCTAACAATAGAATGTCGAGCTTTGGAGCATCCAATTGAGAAGGGAATTCAAGTAATTCATCAGTGTGATGCCATGAAGTTACTGCATAGCAATCTTTTACCACTTCACCATCAAGAAATTCATTTAGCTCTTTTGCATAGTTTACATTAATGACATGATCCTCTTTATTAGATGCTATCAATAAAACTGTTTCCCGAACCAAGTCATGCATTATCACATACTCTTTTGATTCGAGGTTTGAAGAGTGCATCAATAGTGAGGAGTCAATGAGATTATTTATTATTACTCTAACTTGGTTCCTTGCTATTTTGAATGAGTCTCCATCTCTAGCGAGGCCCAACCCTACTCCATATCTAAAAAGATCTTCAATGGCAATGTTATGGTCTTCAGGAAACATAGCACATAATGACAACAACAACTTAGCTTTTGACAATTTCAAATAATTATAGCTCAATTCTAGGCAAGCATAAGCTGTACTCACACCATCATCCTCATCTATTAGTTTTGAATGCCTCAACTGGTGCAACGCAACATTCATCTCATCAAGTCCTTTTCCTTTCAAGGATGCCCCTACTGCCACAATTGCAATTGGTAGTCCTTTGCATTCCTTAGCAACTTCATGCGCCACAACTTCCTTAGCACTGTCATCTACTTTAGCATGAGTCTTAAACAAAGTCCAAGATTCTTCAACTGTTAACAAATCCAGTGGAATCATTAAGCAATCCACCAATGGACAATCGATCCTTAGACTTTTATGGTGTGTGGTTAGGAGAACTTTGCACCTTTCTGGATGATTTCTCGTAAAGGGATTTCCAATATTCTCAAGATTCAAATTATCCCATACATCATCCAATATAATCAAAATCCGTTCCTCTAAATTTTTTAATCACATAGCAATCCTATTTGCCCTTCCCTCTTCAGATTTTTCTTCTAGACAGAGTCCTAAGAAGTCGGCAATTTGATCTTGAATGTTTTTGACATTCAGTGTTTGAGAAATTCTTGCAAACACAAAGCGATCAATCAACTTTAATTCTTTTGCTTTCATTCCCACTTCCTTTTCCAAGGTGGTTTTCCCTGAACCACCCATGCCCCACAACCCTATTTTAGAGTTGCCATCATCTTTCAATGCCCCCAACAGTTGGTTGAAAGCCCTATTTGTAGAGTTGAAGAACATGAGACTTTGAGAAAAGTTATACTCAACAGCAACACGATGGGAAATTGGATTCAAGTGCTCACTCTTTGTATTTAGCTCTATCATCATCTGGGTTGTCTTAGAGAACTTTTTGCAGAGACAATATTTCCTCCAAGTAGGACACCACTGTCGAAGGCAGCTATTGTTGGCCCTTAGTTCTTCCTCCAAATGCTCCAACTCTGCTATGAGGCTCTTTACGTCATTCATCCACTTGTTAACCTTGCCATCAATTTTTTCAGTCCTGTTGATAGCCTCTTGAACACGTTCTTGCACCCTCCCTTGTGTGAGTATGAGCTGCTCCTTTATGATCTCAACATTTTTGGTGATTTTGTTGACACAAAACAAATATTGCAGCTGCTGTAAAGTTGGATGCACCAAATATTCAGCAAGTTTTGCTGCCACCGACACTCCCCCTCTGCCATTTAATTAATAGCAACCTGAAAAGAGAGCTTTGCATTCATCATCATCAAATGATCAACTCAAAATTTCACTTTGAAGAACTAAGGCATAATTTAATACTTAATCAAAATGAAAATTAAAGAATTATTTTTTGCCCTATCTTTCATACATAATTAAGAAAGATGAATTGTTCTTGTACAACTTTCTTGCTTTAACTTCTAATTTTTTGCCCCAGCCTTGTTTAGAGATTAGAATAACTTTATTTAGTGTGTTTTTCGAGCAGATTGACGCAAAGGTGAAGTAAAAGAAGAAAAAATGTAGTCTGCAAATCACAGCATCAATTATTAGCAACTAATAAGGTACTCATACTTTAGGAATGGAGAGCGATCACAGATACATGTATGAAAAAGAAAATAGAAAAACGGTGGGAAAAAGACAGAAAAAGAGAAATCTAAAAGGATAAAGTGGGCAAAAAATGGATTATTCTGATTCATTCAGGAGAGGGATATTGCTTCATAGCTCATACCAGTGATGAACTTCCCAGTTGCAGATTTTGAAGGGTGAGAAGAACAGAATTGAACTGCGCGCGATGACCAGATTTCGCAGGAGAGAACTTGGAAACTGGGAGTGAGAGTAGGTAAGTAAGATGTTTGTGGCTTTGGTGATCAGTAAGTGTTGTCCATTTTTCATTTCCTTGGACCCCAAAACACGCCGTCTTTATTCAATAATTCAAAAGTAAAAACGCAATCTTATCATTCAAAAGTGACAGTATTTGAAATTGAAATTTCAGAGTTTTTGTTTTATGTTAACTTTGTGCAACGTATTACAAAAGGAAAATTAATCCGCGAATTAAACTCTTATAATTTTTCTCAATTTTAAATTAAGTCTTTGTAATTTATTTTGTTTAAATTGATAGTATGATCCATTAAATATATTAACCCTTAAAAATTTAAATCATGATAATTCCAATGATAATTCCAATGACTATGATGTTTCCTCACCGTTTTTTATTTTTATCCGAACTCTTTCGTTTTTATTGAATTTCGCAAACCGTGTATTGGAATAGGAATATTAGAGGTAGTGTTTTACTTTTGCAACCCTAATCAATTAGCGTAAGAAGACCGGAAGTTGCTATCTTATCTTCTTTGGGACTGGAAGCATGTGACTCTATTATTTTGAGAAATTATTTGAATATTTTTAAATTAATTTTAATAAGAAGTATTTTCTTATCGTAACCAGTTACAAGTAACGAAATCTTTCGAATGGATTATAATTCTATCATGTTTCCTCCCTATTGTCTTTCCTTCCTTTTCTTAATTTCTAATCACAAGATTAATATTTGGACAGTTCAGATTTGACATCCTATTAAATATTTCTTTTTATTTTATTTTTGTTGCACTGTTAAACTCTTCAAATTAAATTTTAGTTATTTAATTTAGATTTGATTATTTTATTTTTATAATTTAAACCTTTAATAATAATTTTACAGGAGATCAAATCTAAATCATCCAATTCATGATCCGATGATCAGAAAAGAAAATGCAAGGAGAAGAAGGGAATCTTGGCATTAGTGTAGGTGGCCATGGATTAATGAATTGTCGTGCGCTAGGAGTTGCCTTATCTATCTCAACATGGTCACGAATTTACAGGAGAAAACAGCAAGAGGGTGGTTGGTTTATTTAACATTTTTAACAAATTAAAGGACAAATAGCAAATATTCTTTCCAATTCTATTTATAAAATATTTTTAATTGAATCACGTAGATTAACAACGTTGGTTTGAGTCTTATTCCTTTTTTTAAAAAAAAATTCTATAGAAATTCCAAAGTACCCTTAATTAATTAAAATTAATAACTTTACCTTTAAATCTTAAAGCCATATATGCCATCCAAATGTTTCATGTCGTCCTCCCTCCTCTAGCCTCTCGATTCTCTTTCACTCTTCTTCTTTTTAAAAATAAAAAAATAAAAAGGATCAATTTATTAAAAAGAAAAGAAGGTTAAAGTTGAGTAGTTGAAAAGTATAAGCTTAATTTTATTACATGTGAGAGATGCTGTCGTGCTCCAAAAATAGAAGATGACCGACGTATGATATAAATTATATCATACATCCCTTGATTCTTAAATCAAGAAAATTTTTCACTTTCAAAGAATTAATTAGATTTGTGTTGAAATTATGACATCTTTAATAATATTTGTTTTAATGAAAGTTTTACTATTTTTATAAAAGTTTCGGCAGAATCTCCCTTATAAATAGGATCTCCAGAAACCTCTATAACAGAAATTATTATAGTATGCATTCAACAGATTAGAACTATGTTTCCCAGACACAAACAGTCACCATAATAAAAAAAATTAGGATCCTAGCTATAGTTAATGTGAAGCACCTAAAGAATAAATTTTAAAATAAAACATATAATTGAATATTTACATTAAAAGAGAAGGGATTGACAAAGATAAATGTTTATTCAGCACAGTTGCAAGCCCTTAAAGGTTGACAAGAGGTCCAGTGTCAATTAATGAATCTGAGATTAAAATATTTTTCTAGTGAATAGCATCTCCAAAAAATAGAATTTAAAAGAGTGAAATAATAAACTTATTATTATATGAAATAATTGAAAGGAAAATAATTCAGAATAATAACCCATAAGATCTAGAAATATTAATTATAATAATAAAACATGAATGAGTTAAAATTTCTTGAATTTGATATGCTAAAAGAGAATAATTTATTCATAATTCAGTAAAAGTAGCAAACTTACTAACTGTAACCATTAAGAATTCAAATATACTAGCTAAGAACAATCAAGATAATATAATCATGAATTTGAAGGTTAAGAAGTTCCATATAACTTGAAAGTACTAAACCACTAAATTGATAATGACAAAACAGTTCAACTCTTTGTTCTTGTAAAGAAAATTAAATAAATAAATACTCTTTATTAAATAAAACCAATGAAGTGTGTATTTACAAATCAATTAGAGCTAATATTTTTAAGGACTTTTGCAAAACAAGTAACAAATATGGATACATAATTCACAAGAGTAAAATAACCAAACACAGCTTATGTCATAAAAACAAACACGGACACAAAGTCCACGAGAGTAAAATAACCAAACGTGGTCGAAATCACGAAACAAACGTGGATATATAGTTCACGAGAGTAAGTCTAACCAAACGCGACTTGAAGCCACGAAATAAACGCAAGTGCGAGGCTCGCGAATAACAAACGTGAAAACAGAACTCACGAAAGCCAAGCTAGCTAATCATTAATCAAGGCGCACCAAAGGCTAACAAAACTGCTGTTAGCGACAGTGGTCTACTTAAAGTCCTTGTAAAATCACCTTTTCAAGCATGCGAGAATAATCATTTCTGAAATATAATTTGCCTTCTCAATATCAAACTTGCATGAATCATTTCAAATCTCAAAGCTTGCCAAGATAATATTTCATAGCCAATGTACACGCTTGTATTAATTGAGCAACCAAGAATCTCTAGAGTAAAATAAACAAAGATGCCTTCATTGATCTTGAAAATATATTTCATAAAGAAAATACATGCATATATCATAATTTAATTAATTTTCATCATTATTCTAAAATTTCCAAAACCAAAATGATTTAGTTGACAAAGTACATAATAATCATCATAGTTGTTAAATTGATTTACATGAAAATGTAATATTTTCAAAACAGACTACTTTTATTAAAAAATAATGGGGTGCTATTCACTTACCTGCTAAATTCCAAATCCAATGATTTCCTTCCTCAATTCTTATTAAAGAACTCATCTTCCACATACCCTATATGAATAAATGAAACCTCAATTTGCTTCCTATAGTTATGTAAACTTTATTCCACTCCCAATACAATCTCAACCAATTGGAGTATTCAAAATTCTAAAAACAAAAATTCATGTCTTAATAGTTTATCAAATATCATCACTTACCACCAATTTACCTCATATTATTCTAATCATAACTACTATTTATATAAGATGTGATTTTCTTATACCTTGTATCAAACACCTTGTGTGCAAAATTTCCAATCACCCATAATTAAATTTATCATGCTTATTTTACCCATTTCTCAAACATCTTAAAGGTATTCTCAAGATCAAATGATA